AAAAAGGCTCTTTATGGTTTAAAGCAAGCACTTAGAGCATGGTATGAAAAGTTAACTTCTTATATAATGCACAAGGGCTTCAGAAGAGGAGGAGCTGATAAAACATTGTTTATTTTTAGAAAAGGAAAAGATTTTCTTGTTACTCAAATATATGTGGATGATATTATTTTTGGTGCTACATGTGATAACCTTGTTCATACTTTTTCTAAAGATATGAGTAAAACTTTTGGAATGAGCATGGTTAGTGAACTGACTTTCTTTCTAAGTCTCCCAGTGAAACAACTTGATGATGGAATTTTCATATCTCAATCAAAATATGCAAAGGAGCTAGTTAAAAAGTTTGGTATGAAATATTCAAAGCATGTTCAAACTCCTATGAGTACGTCATCCAAATTGGATAGAGATTCTGATCCTAACAAGGTTGATCATTTCTTGTATAGGAATATGATTGGTAGCTTGTTATATTTGGTAGCAACTAGGCCAGATATTTCATTTAGTGTAGGTGTTTGTGCTAGGTATCAAGCTGATCCTAGAGAACAATACATTGTTGCAGTCAAATGCATTATTCGTTATGTCAATGGTATATTGAATTATGGATTGCGTTATTCTTCTGAGTCTAACTCTGAGATTACAGGCTATACTGATGCTGATTGGGCTGGTGACAAGGATGATAGAAAGAGTACTTCAGGTGGTTGTTTCTATGTTGGCACTAACCTTGTTTCATGGTATAGCAAGAAGCAAAATTGCATATTTTTATCATCTTGTGAGGCTGAATACATTGCTGCTGGAAATTGTTGCACACAATTGCTTTGAATGAAACAGATGCTTCTGGATTATGGAGTTGATCAAGATACTATTTCTATCTTTTGTGATAATACTAGTACAATTAATATTTCAAAGAATCCAGTTTTACATTCTAGGACTAGGCACATTGACATTCGACATCACTTTCTTAGGGAACTTGTTGAACAAAGTGTCGTGTCTTTGGAAAAAGTGCATACTGATCAGAATTTGGCTGATATTCTCACTAAACCATTAGATGCTCTTAAGTTTTCTCATTTTAGGAAATCTATTGGTGTTCTGTTGTCTTGATTAGATGCATTGCAAAGATATAGTCTATAAAGGATTTTCATGCATATATTAAGAGTCTAGATTATGTTTTTGGAAAGTTAAGCAAACCATATCGTTTGAGTATGTTGAACACAAGGAGTTTAATGACACATGTATTATCTGTGGAAAGCATACAATAGCTATGAATTGATGAAATTGGTTTTGCTTACTTATTTCATATAGTAAATGAATCATTGATAGTACATTTACTTGAAATGTCATTATTTTGGTTAAAGATAATGTTGATATGATTGATCATTGTCTTGGGATTTAAACTTGTTTTATGTGTTTTAGACCAAAAGAGTGAAAAGAAAAAGAAAATTGAAAAACAGCTTAGAAAGAAAAAGTTTTTGAAATAGAAAGGAAAATTTTGTTGTTTTGAAAAAGGTGAGATGGAAAAGGCTACGTTTGGGATTTGTCCGAAAGTTACCTTGACTCGAAACAAATAGGAATAAGGGAAAGAGCTATCTGCCCATAAGCATGAAAGCCGCCAATGTGCAAAATGAAAAATGGAGCACAGAGAGATAAAAAATAAATAAATAAAATAAAATAAAATAAAAAAAGTCTTTTGCACATATTGATTGTTTGATTTCTACGGATATGTGATATCATTGATTTATTATCTGAAATCTGAACAATTGACAGATCATATATTTTTGGAACTTGCTGGTGATTTTGCTACACTTTCTAAGTTTGTGGAACTTCATTGAATTGATCTTGGTTATTTCTGTTGATACATATAATCTTGTAAAGTCTAAATCCTCATTGGTTTCAATTTACAAGATTTATATGGTTGGTTGCTTACTACTTCTAGGATTTTTCTTCCTTGTGACCCTTGTTAATTTGTAACAGAAAGGGGGAGAGAGTTTAGAGTCTTATCATTCAGGGGGAGAACTTTTTGCATTGAAGGGCAAAACCATCGTTCATTGCATTATTGCATTGATATTCAAGCTTTATTAGCATAGCTATTTTACGCATGCGTTAATTTTCTTGATTAAGCTTTACGAGTAGTTGTGTTTAAGCTAATGAGCAGATTACAGGTTGCTACATGTTGAAGCTTCATGAGGTTCAAGAAAATTTCTGCATTTTATTTCCTTTAACAATCATTGTAATTTACTTTCCTGCTTGGGTAGATTGTTGAATTGTTTGTAGGGTTTTGTCACGAAATTGCCAAAGGGAGAGATTGTGAGATATAAATTTTGTAATTGGCTAATTTTGTTGTCAAAACAAGTTTGATCGAGTTGTAATTTTTTGGTTCAAAAAAAACAAAAATAAAAAATTAAAGAGTGATGATTGGATGCGAATTTGAAGAAGGTCAAGTGTTCATAGGATACTACACTCCGAGATAATGAGAACAAATTTTTAAGAAGTGGTGAGGAGTAGTGAGAACATTTAGGAAGGGTTTTGGAAGGTTCAGAATAAGTTTTTACATTCTGTTCATCTTGAACTGGTTCAAGATTTATCGAACAGGTTCAACATCAACAGAATTACCAAAATTTCAAGACTGACCATCTTGAACCGGTTAAAGGGGGTTGAACCAGTTCAAGAATTCATGGAATTCTCTACTGGTCATCTTGAACCGATTCAGCCCCTCTGAACCGGTTCAAGAAGTCCTGAATGCATCAGGTTTCGAAGTTTCATTCTTATGATGTTTCCTTTTTGATCCCAACTTTCTTCTAAGTCCTATGCACGAAATTTATCATATTTTCTAAGGGATTAGGACTGTCTAAACTCTATATAAACCTTACCATACACACTGGTTTATTCACGGCTTTAGGGATCATCAATTATATATTTTGAGAAGCCTTTTAGAGAGAGAAAATTCAGAAAATCAAATTCGATTGGTCTGAATTTATTTATAAGAGCATACACATATATTTATGAGTGATTTAGTAGTGTTGTTCTCTATCTCATCAGAATTGGAGCTATATTGAAGATTTAAATATTCCGAATGAAGAGTAGGATTTAATTCTTCTACAACCGTTCAGATTTTGAAGACACAGAAGTAAACGCAATCACACTTTGAAATGGTTGGAGCATTCTTGCAATGATGTCTGATCTACCTACTACTCTTCTACAAATATCAAACATAAGCCTGAGATCAAGTTACTGTTGGACGGAGAGTCGCAAAGCCATAGGGTTGTCAGCATTTGGTGTTTGGTAGAACGATATGGTGTGAGCCAGAGTCAAAGTCCGGTATACTTTGTTTCAAGCATAGTGGATTGATTTATTTTGGACTGCACAGTCCACAAGGTTTTTCCCATAACAGTTGACGTATTTTATCAACTAGGGTTTCCTCGCTAAATTCCTGGTGCAATCTCTCTAACTCTAACTTGCTTTAATTTTCATATATTTGTGGTTGTGGATGTTCAAATTGATCATTTAGTTTAATCAATCATAAATTGAGCAAGTTCTCAGATCTAGGTCATTAAAGAAGTTAATCACAATTAAAATCAATTAACTGTTTGCGCACCCCGCGTCACTTTAGTCTCACATTTATTTGTTTCACAAAGGAAAAAGGACCCCATCCCAGACCCATTATTCCAGCTATTTGCTAGGTATTGTCGCTTATCAAGGCCACAACCAAATACTGAGGTTTTGAAAGCTTCTGGGCGGTTAGAATGGGAACCAGAAGTAAAAGTTTCATGAGCTACGATGCATAATAAGGAGCCAAAAGTAGAAGTTTCATGAACTAAGATGCCTAATAAGGAAGTACCGTCCAAATAGCTTATATGGTAGGAGCACAGGTTTTCTATGCGCTGATTTGGTATGCGGAGGCTGTGGCTGTTACAAGGAGGAGGGTGATAAGAAGCAGAGCGAGGCAAAATGGGCTGTCCTCTTACTAAGGCACCGACCGTTTTCCCCCCTACAACCTTCACATTGTATCCATAGGTGGTCACTGCCGGTATCCAAATACACATAATAGGATGGTTGTGAAGGCGTTGCCCTGAACATTCCAATGCCAATTTTCACCATGTAAAGGAATTAAGATTGAATATCAACCTGAAGGGGTTGGCTCAAGTGGATAAGTCACTTGGCCTGGCATTTCATAAAACTTTAGGTTTAAGGTTTAATTCCTCTTGAGTGCAAACAATTCCTTAAAGGGGTGTGTGTGAGTATCAACGACGAAAAAAAAAAAAAAAAGACAGACTGAATATCAACTTGGGGACAAACCAATTCCTGATGTACAAATTTTGAGTTGAGACCTAGGAGGAGATGTAATTCTGGGGAGTACCGGTGGATAAGCGTAAGCGTCAAACCATTGGGTTTTACAGCCACCCCACCTACCAGCAAGAGGCTTGACACAAGGTAGAGAGAAAGCAATGACATTGTTTTTCATATGGCACTTCCAAACAATGGATTGATTTGTCTCGAGGGTAGATTCATCCGAATTTTTATACAGGCCCTAGTAAATGCCAAATTAATGTGTTTTTTCCTTCAAATGCTTTTCCCAATTGAGCACCATATAGGTGGGCTACTGGATCGTATATAGAGGAAGAAATCAAGAGAAATGGAGATCAAATAGAAGGAAATTGAATGATGTTAAAAGTGTAAGCTACATAGAAGATTGAGGGAATCAAGAGAAGTCCAAGAGCTATTTAAAAAAAAGATTCAATAGTTTTTGACTTTGATAATATTCCCATATTTTTGTTGCATTAATTATGTTCCTTATATCCCTTTGAGTTCTACAAGAACATATTTAGGAACTCATAGCAATTTAAGTCACTGTAAACAGAATCCAATTTTTCTATATGCCATCAGATTTGACAGCTAGCATCACCTTTTTTCCTGAATAAATCTTATATTAATATTCTCATGTTGGAAACAAAAATAATTTCATGAGAATTTTCATAAGCTATGCTTCATACATTATAGCATTAATGCCATAATTACAACAAAAATAAATCTACATATACCACAGATTTCACATTTAGTTGAACTAAGAAACCCAAGTACATTCAAAGCAGTGGCTTCACAAACTAATATCTTAGAAAACAAATAAATAATTCGCCTACACAAAGAAAAGTATATATATTTGTTTTTTGGGAATTAATATGAAAATTACTATTCATGCATAACCTGACGTTGTCAATGCATACCACTATTTTAGTGATCGATCTTAGCAAATCGTCCCTTAATTCTTGTTCTCGTTTCTGCTCGAACCTTCCGCGATTCATATCTGATGTGCTTATCATACCTGCCATTTCAGAAATAAGTAGTTCAGTCCAATAGTCCAAACATGCGGACAACATTATATAGATGGGCCTCTAACCAACAAGAAACAGGTGTTTACGCTTAAAATCTTATGTGCTGATTAACAGGACCAGTGTGATATCAAATTGATTGATGTAAAAATGGGGCTTGACAAAGTCAAACCCATTCACTATGGCAGCTACAGTGAGAATCTCCCAAGTCAAATAAACTATCGCGGTGATAAAGCTTGCTAATGTTCTAAATTGTGGTTGTAAACCAATTCTGAATCTTTTTAAATTTGAAAGTTCTAATTGCTAAAATATTGCTGAAGAGTTCTTATGTAGAACAGAAAAATACTTGAAGATACAAGTTTCATGCAAATTTTGGAATGGTTCAAAGTGATTGGTACGTAAATTTTGCAATGGCCATGCGTCCATCTACTTAGAAAATGAGAGGCATAATCATATGGCAACGAATTATCTTGAATACCTCCTAGTTTTCTTCTTCTCCTTGTACCGGGAGAGTGCAGTTCCTCTTTCCTGGCTGGCTAGTGCAGTAACTTTGGGAAGGACTTGCACGGTTTCAGTGACAATGTGATGATGTAATCCCTCTTCATGACCACCATCGACATGACTTACACAGCCACCAATATCTGAATCTTTCTCAGGAACCAAATAATTTTCCTCACTGTAGCTCAACATAGAATGAAGACCTTTATTTGAAAGCTCACCATCATCACTGCACCACTTCAATGCACATGCCTGCATGAAAGAGCACAGAATCACATTCTCTTTCTTTCTTTACCCCGTTTGGGTGGACGAAAATAATTACCATGAATCAAGAAAGCAGAAGTGAATATTCAAATAAATAAAACACTAACATTAATCATAAGCAAGAGAATCATGTCACATAATTTTTAAGTTTGACAATCTAAGTGTCAAAGATGGCAGCGGAAAAAAGGAAGAAGAAAACAGGAAAAAAAATACAGAGGATCAGGTTCTACCATCCACCACAAAGTATTGGACACATTAACCAAAAAACTCTACCTAAGGGATGTTAATTTGATTATCCTGTTAATCTATTTCCAATCTTAAGGCCGTGGAAGAGCTGATGCTGGAAAAAACAACATGGTTGGGACAAGCTCAACATGCAGGGCACACAAAGCCCAGAATCTGATTTTTCTCTCTTAAACTTTTTTCAATGAACACCCATATATATAGGGTATGAATCCACATGAGTGAAATAAAATCACTACTCTTACTAGGAGGAGAATGTCCATTACTGGGGTGCACACAGTTCGGATTGGATCGGTTTAACGATAAATTGGAACCAATCCAGTCCTAACTGTTCAATGAAAATTGGAAACAAACCGCGCCGAGAAAACTATTTAAACTGTACCATTCCAAACTGCAAGAGAATGGATTGAATCTGTTTGTTTTGGCAGTATTGGGTTTCTGTGAAAACCCAATAAAAAATGAGCCTGAATGCATAAAAGAGCTTTCGTAGGAAAAGAGAAGCCCAAAAAGAAAAGGCCACCATGCATAACAATATTACATACCAAGAGGAAAAAATAATTAAGCAGTGAACAAAGAGTTGTTCAAAGATAGAGTAAGAACAGTACACTTTAATAATTTCACCAATAATGGAATTTAAAAAATGAATGAAATATGTTCGATAAAACATTATCAATTAAGATAAGTTAGATTGAACACCAATTGTTATATCATGATATAGAGGAATTGAATCCATTTTGATTGTAACTAATGCATATAATGTTAATGTCTGTTAATATCACCATCAGATCCTCTAGTCCCAACTCGCACTAGTTCCCCCAGTCTTGATGTATTCTGGCCTCCAGGGCAGAGACAGAGAGAGACGCGCCCCCGCGCGCGGGGGGGGGGGGGGGGGGGGGGGGGGGGGGGGGGGGGTGGGGGAGATCTACACAATGAGGAGGATGAGAGAAAGTGAGAGAAGAGAGGAAGATATTTGAGTAACGTTGCGAGATGCTGGTCAGGAAATTTGAACGCCGATGTGCCAAGGCATGAGCATTGAGAATGGCCTGAAGAGGTCATTTAAGGTTTGATTATTTAGGGTTAGGAAAAGTAAGTTGATAACATATATATAATAAGGAAAATTTTGACATCCCACAATCCATTGACAACAGAGCCTTTAAGAGGTGAAAAAGGAAAAAAATAAAATAAAATGTCAGTCACTTTTTTCTCTCCCTCACTATTTATATTTCCATCGTTTTCACTTTTATTTTGGAAATATAACAAAAAATAACAATGCTGAATAGGCGGCAACATGCAGCCTGCTGGAAGACCGTAAGCAGTTGAACAAGTTAACCCATTGATCTGATCGAGCAGCTTTAAGATAGACAGTCATACTGGGCAATGAACTCTAATGAAAATTACTAAAAGAAAAGGCAGGATTTCCAAAAGTTGAATGCCATGAAGGAAAACATAAACCAAGTAAACTAAAATGTAAATATGAATTATGGTGTACAAGGCTCCTACTTTCTAAAAGGAGGTCAGGGTTCGAACCTCGATGGAGGCAGCGTGTGTGAGTTCCAACTAGGGAAAAAAATTATGGTGGTTCAGGCCATGCCGTACATCCATGACAAGAAAAACCAGAGGAATAAATTTCTTTTATTTTCTCTCTTAACCTTTCTTCACAATAAAACATTCACATATACAGGGTGGAAGTAAATATGAAGATCTCTCTTCTTGATTGATGGAGGATGGCAATTAATTCAGCGAACCACGTCAATCAATATACGTCAAGTCTATGATCCACACCTACCAATCACATTAATATATATACAAACAAATCAATCTACCTGTATGTATATAATGTTTTTCTTTTCACCTTACATTTTGCCAAATTTTCTCCTGAATAAAATAGAAGGCAGGATTAGTGGCACAAATCTTACTAGGTTGACATTTTCATTGAATAGTCTGAACAAAAGGGACCACAAATATTTTTACAAATTCTATAATACATTACAATTCTACCATCAATACAATTATGAGGAGACACTTCTATGACATTGGCTACCTCAACAATGTGAATCATACAAGCTTAAGCAGAAGCACAATTCCACTTCTGTTTTTTTTTCTTAGTTGGTACTCCACACATGCCTCCACTGAGGCTTAAACCCTTGACCTCCGTTTAGGAAGTAAAGGTCTAATACCGCTAGGCCACTGGCCCGTTGGTAAGCACAATTCCACTTCCATGCAACACATCCAACGCATTTCACATATACTAATATTGCTAACATAACTTTCTTGTGGAATAGACTTTAGACAACAAGACTATCTGAGAAACTAATGCCTCAAACATAATGGCAAAAGAGATTCATAAATCACCCAAGCTGGGTGAAGACAAACACCAACATGAGCCAAATTCAGCTAGACTAGCACTGAGAACACCTCAAAGTGCTATCTCCAGTGAATGTCAGCTTTCACCACTTCTTACATATAAACTGATTTCCTTTTCAGTCCTTTCAATTACACCTTTATTGGTTCACCTATTTATTTATTTTTATCATTCGAGCTTAGGCTTATTTAGCCACTTCATCCCCTATCTTCCACACTGCCATATGACATGGTTGATAACAAAGCAACATAATAATACCATAAAATTCCAAAAAGAAGTTAAGAAAATGAGTTGAAAGAAGTGATAACAAACTCAAAAGCACTTAATCAATTCACAGGTTTTTAAGACAAAAAGCTTTACCTCATAAGAAGGAATCGCATCTGGCACTGCATCATGTCCAAAGTCCACATACATACTTCCTGGATGAAGGTCTTCTTCAGGTACCAGGGATTGAAATCCCATAAGGGGTTCAGCATCCCCATTACCATCAATGAAGTCTGGTTCCAACTTTGTCAGTTTACGAAGCTGATTCAGTATTTCTCTCTTGTATTGCCCAGTAGCAGCATTACGATTCTGATTCAGTAACAGGTTGCAGCCAGTTAAATATTATGATAGCCAATAAACAAGCTCAACGAACAAAGAACACATATAGCATCTCCTTTCCAAGATCCTTTTTCGTTCTTTTTTTTTTTAATTCTATTTTTTAAAAAATTTATTATATTTTTATTATTTTATTTTTGGGGATACAAATAAGAACATCATGAGGCCAGAGGTGGAGACAAGATGTAGGGCAATCTAGTCTTGAGTGACGTGATTTAAAGTAATATGACAACAACAATTTTCCATATGAAAAATATGTCATCCATTGATCTATATATATATATATATATAATAACAATTTTGAATGCTTGTGTAAGATGATTTAAAGAAGCACAATCTGAGCAACAAAAAGGTTGCCCAAGCATGTCCAAAGATTCAGTTGGTCTTGAGTTAGGTTTGGGTTGGTCCAACCAAGTTGAAACCTCTAGTGTAGAGTCAATTGGCCCTTCTGGAAACCCCTCCCTCCAACATTGCAATAGGCTTGAACAACCTTTTTAAAATTTTGAAGATGGCCTCTGGCCTTCAAGGATGTCCCCGCTGCAGTTGTTGTGCTTAGATGAATAAACAATTCTTAGAACACCTCAATCGGAATTATTAAGCTATAATTGTGCTTACATGTACTCTCCTATTATCCTCGTTGTACTTGTCTCGAGTCTCTCAACACAGTGTGACATAGGTATTGGTATGGGATATGTGTCCAAAACACACAAAAATTAGTAACCATCTATATAACATATTATGTTGTAAAGTGTGTCTGTGACACATGACTGCGCCTCTAAATCCAAGTTTTGGACACATTTTAAGCAGAGTCCTTATAACTTAAAATCTGGAATTTAAAGAGGTTGACACTTGAAGACACATACCGACAACGGTACATGTACCTGAGTTGCATAGAAGTACAGGGAAATGGATGTGGCAATTTGCATCCAAAGAGCTGCGTTTATGATAATTTATTTTATTTATTTATTTTTTATTTTTAAAGGAAATGAAACAGAAAGCTAACTGAGCCGAAGTGAAACCAGGTGGATTTGAAATTCCAACCCATTATCAACTTATTAGATCTGCATGACATTAATTTAGCACAGCATTACCATGCTTGAAATGATATTATAAAACCATCTGACTCACAAAAGATGGAAGCCAAAGCAATCAACAGCTTCAAACCATATGAGTCCAAATATAAAAAGATGTGGAATCAACGACACCCACCGAACCAACCAAAACAAAATCAAAGAAACCACAAATCAATGATAGCTGTTGAACAAACTATTCTCTTCTTGACCAAAAAATTTTTTTAAAAAATAATAATAATAATATTGTACTTCTAGCAAAAAATATTTTGGCTTAGCGGAGCTTTTAGTTAAAGTTAAAAATTGGAGTTCAACCAAAACATATCTACTAAGAATTTCTTTATTTTTAAAAAAGTGCTACATTGTTCAACACAATTTGACAGCTCTATTTAACTTTTTCTTTCAAAATAAATAAATAAATAAACAAATAACCGAATTCATCAAAAACCCAATTGAATATATCTATATATATATATATATATTGTGCCTAGAATCAACATAGAAGACCAAAAGAAGCAGCTGGGTAATACTGACCTTTGGTGGAGGAGGAACCCCCATAGCCTGAAAATTGTGCTCAGAATTAGTGGAAACAATCAAATCATCAAGACTAACAAATGAAGGAGTGTCCCAAACCAACAAATCTGCAAACTCATCATTCCCATCGAAAGACCCATAAACCCTAGACCCCACCAACCCATCATCACCACCACCAGATTGTAAAGCTTTTTTCCCCAAATCTTCAAACCCAAGAACCGTCAACAACTCAGTCACACATGGACACCCAGTGAACCCCTCGAGAGGCCTACGATCGTGAAGAGACGACGAAGATCGACCATGTCTTTCCCAATCACAGTTCTGGCAGAGAACCAAGTTCTCTGTGGAACAGAGAAACGAAGCAGGGGATGAATCGCACAAGTCGCAGAGCTGCGACCGGGTGTGCTTGGTGAAGAGCTGGTTTGTGGAATGGACTTCACGGTCGCAAGAGAAGCAGAGCTTGGCCGAATCGGCTCTGCAGTACAAGAGAGCTAAAGACTCACCACAGAAATCACAGATTCGATTCTGGGTCTTCTTCACATTTCGCTGTTCTTTGTCTTCATCAACCAATCTCTCTCTTTGTTCCCTCAATCTAGCATGTGGATGTGTTGCAGAATCACTCATGTCCTCTATCTCTCTCTATATATATATCTAATGCTTCAAATTTGTAGAGAAGGAGAGTGAGTCAGTAAAGATTGTGAAAATCGGAAGAGAGTGCAAATGAAAAGGGGCTACTCAGCCATTCTTGCGTTGCAAGAATGGAAGTGTATGGGTAATGTATATGTCAGAGAGAGAGAGGGGAGATTTTGTTGAAAAAAACCTTATCGTTTTCATATTTTGTGTAGGATTAGGAAGAAGTATCTCGACAGTCTTCGTTGATTTTTCGTGTCATATGTTAAAAGCATGAAAATGATAGATATTTCACCGAAAAAAAAAAAAAAAAAAAATGATAGATATTTTCGATCAGATTGCTACTTTGCTTTCTCAATGTCGAGGTAAAAAGGCACAATTTTGCTGTTTGTGGCAAAATATGTAAGAGTGGAGCTATAATTAGAAACCTATGCAAAGGAGTCAATCTTCTAGATTATTTAGTGCACATGATTTGATTAATTTTAAAAGTACCCTCTGACCGTTATACCCTCTATTATGTTCCCCAACAAAACAAAACACCAGTGTATCGCGTGGAGCCATATATGTGTTGTGTTGGAACTGGATTGCATAAATGATAATATATCCGATGTTTAAGAGAAGATAGTCACACAAATAAAAATATGTGATAAATGATAATATATCCGATGTTAAGAGAAGATAGTCACATAAATAAAAATATGTGATAAATAATAATATCTTAAATATAAATAAAGAAATTAATTATAATTTTAAATTAAGATTTAGAGACACGTAATCACTTTTTTAAGATAGTTGAAGTCTTTTCTAGGTACAATCGGAATATCGAATGACAGCACTAACTCCTGGATTCAACTAAGTCAAGTATATTTAAACACATATATCAATATAGATATTGAATGTAACCATGTGGAATGTTTACAATTCCATAATTTGTTACCCAAAAGTTGGTTAGAATTTCAATTCTAATCATCGGAATGGTTACCGGAATCCGAACTAAAATGTTAGAACCTTCGCTGAAGCCTCTGTGGAATCCGGGTTCGTGCCAGAAACTTCATCGAAACCTCACCAGAATCTAGGCATGGTCATTGGAAACCTCATCGAGCCTTCCTCGAAATCTAAGTTTGTTGCCGAAAACCTCATCGGTGTTTCACCGGATTTCTCATCCTCTCACCGGAATTCTCTCTCACTTTCTTTGACTTAAACCTTGCTCAGGTCTGGTACATCTTGGAATGGGCTCTCCTCTAGCCCTTTTATAGGGCTCTAATTTATGGGTGTTATAAATATATATTTAATCTAGACGCCCAAAGGTCACTAGCCCATTAACCACTAACTCATGTTCAACGGCCAAGATCGCTTGATCATGAAACCAATCACGGAAGATGATCAGTCACGTTAAGAGTGAAAATTCCAGCCTCCTCGTGCGCGTTCGTTACTCGAACCCGAGACCTCTTATGCAAAATGGAAACTCCTATTCTCCATCTACCAACTAGGGAACTTGTTGATTGTGTTATAAAATAAGGAATAAATATATTTAAAGACTATTTTGAAATCCTTTATAAAAATAATCATATATTTTAAAACACGTTCCAACAATCTTCCACTTGTTTTAAAATTTAGAATATAATCTTTGGACAATTGGTACAGTTGTGCGCGTCAGTAAAGGTGTCTTTTGGACTTGAACCATTACCTAGTGAAGATATTTCTAGGATTGTCTAAGAACTTAGTGAACAAAGTCATGAACCAAGAACCACATTGACAAACAAGAATTACCTCACATACACTTCTGTTCGGAGATGAAATACTGAAACTTTGACATGTTTCGGCTATGTGTCCTGAATTCGTGCTTCTGAGTGACATTAAATATCACGCCTGTCTAGATCTTATAGAAGCGGCCCTACTTTCACACTCAGATCGGTGTATCCATCAAAAGTGATCTTGCACACTCCAACCGAAATATTGGTTATGGACTCATTAAGAGAATTTAATCTCATCCTCCTAATTGCAAGATTAAATGGTGAATCTCTCAAGAGTGATTGTGTACACCTGAATCGAAAATCTGATCTATAGATTTATGTATGTTTCATGACTAATTGTTTTATTAATTCATTTCCTTTATCATTCCGCACTGTGTTGGGGGTTGTATGACCTTGGTCGTCGGGATTGTGTGTGTGAGCTTGATCCGATGTCTTGATTCCTAGGCGGAGCCTTGTAATAGGTCAGCTTTAGGATGAAGTGGAGGATTTTGAGTGCATTATCTTGTTGGGAGTCATTATGGCTAGGGCGATGATGATATTATTTGATTTTGTAAAGTCTGATCCATTGGCTTGAAGGCACAGACTTGTCAGGCTTTGGATTCGTGACTAGTGTTGCTGATAACGGTGTTTTGAGACTTGGGGTTGTCAGTTTTCTGGTATTGAGGATTTGAGGCCTTAAGCATAGCAGGGCCTATGACATTGTTGTCCGAGTTTTGGGATTGGCCAGGATGGTCCGGCCGGACATCTTTGGACCATATCTTAACCCTCACAAAATGCTTGGTTTCCGTGGTGCTTTTGGTAATGATTGTTTGACAATGATGTCATTTGTATCGATCGGTTTCACGGGTAAGCTTATTGGGGGTAGGTGACGAATTACGGCTTTATACTATCATGCTACCGCACAAATTATGTGTGGTGGGCGAGTGCTAGTTGCCGTCGATGCTACCTTGCATTACCTAGCTAGTAATGTAAGTGTGGGCGGGCGCTTGATATTGTCGATGTTACCGCACCTTGGGTACGATGTGGACGGGTTCTAGTCAGTATTCGTGCTGCCATGTTGCTTCTGGTTGTGTTCCTTATTTAGTTATGTAGTTGCCTTGATTTTTTTGGGTGGTTGACATTGGGTTATTATGTCAATTCGTTGGAGAGGTGTCTCACTGTTCGTGGTTTCGTGTCTCTTCATTGATCTTGAGACCTTTGGAGTTGTCCTTGGGTACTTTATGATCTATTCCTCGGTGTAACCTTATGTACGGTCCTTCTTCGGTTCTTCTAGGAATGTTCCTGATTTCGGGGATGAAATCTCTTTGAGGAGAGTAGGTTGTAATGACCCGGTCATTTCTGTTGGCCTAAGAATTTTATCTAAAGGTCAATCATATGTTTTGATGATTACAAACCATTAATGATGTTTATGTACTAATGTTTTCATTGAGTGATATATAGTTGATCAACATTAAATCCTCAATGATGAGCTAGAAGATCTATTCCAAGCATTCCAAAGCATTCAAGCAATAGATTCAAGGAAGCCTCAAAGTGCAAGAAATCAAAGAAAAACTCGGACTTCAAAAATCACACAAAACATTTCGAAGAAACAAAGCAAGTCTTCATCAAGCCTAAACGATCATGGTCAAAGAATGAAGAAAAAGGGTAGATAGGGTGGTGAGAGCTTAAGATTTAATGTCAAAGTTTATTTGAATATATTTTGAAGCTCAATTTTAGGATCATGCATACTCATTCTAAATTCAGTTTTAAACTGCTTAAAATTTTCTCATAAACCTTATATATGCAAGCTACATATAATAGGAAGTGCATAGGTCTTAATTAAATTTATTTTAGTCATGCATATTTTTGGAGCCGCCTCCACTCAAAAAAATGAGCCTGCTCCTTGCACTCCAGTAGCATTTCTTGGCTCGTAGAACAATCTTTCAGAAATGAGCCTGCTCAATCTTTTTTTTGAGCCGCCTCCACTTTAGAAAATGAGCCTGCTCAATCTTTTTTTTGAGCCGCCTCCATTTGAAATTGAGCCCGCTCCACTTCTTGTAAGGAGCCGGCTTCATTAAGGGTTTTGAACTACAACGGCAATTTTTCTGCATTTAATTTTTCCAACTACTTCTAACAGCTATATGGAGGTGCGAATAAATATTTATATAGAGGTGTTGTCTGAAAAAGTAAGACACACCACTTGAAAGAATATTTTAAGCAGAGCATTCAAGAGCATTCAATATATATAAATTCCTTTTCTGAACTTTCATTGCGTACTGCATTCTCTCATTCTAGATCTTGAGCTTCATTAATATTCTTATGTATTCTAGCTGTGAGCTTACACTTATACATCTATATTGAGAGAGAGGTTCAATCTTGTATTTCAAATTACAAACTTTGCTACGATCTTGTAAGGGTTGGTGTGACCCAAAACGAAGTCTAGGAGAAGGGTGTTCTCCTAGCGAGGAAGAGAAGCAAGTCTTGCTTCAAATTGAAGGTTTGCTCTCCACCATTAAGGAGAAGCTTTAGTGATTTTGGGAAGTCTCAAGGGAGGACCTTGAGCCGAGGAGTAGGAGTTTCCGAACCTCGCTAAATTACTGGGTCACTGTTTGCAATCTCTTATCTCTATCTCTCTTACTTATGCAATATACTGCTTGAATATTTCAATTAATTAGTGCTTAACAGTTTATTAGATTTAACAATTTTAAATTACAAAAATTGGCCCTTGACTCTATTCACCCCCCCTCTAGAGTCAATTAGTGACTAACAATTGGTATCAGAGCCTAATCTCTAGAAAAAGATTAATCATCTTAGAGAATGATCATGGCCAATACAAATTTTCATCAAGAAGGTCAATCTAACAATAGACCCCTTGGCTTGATAGAAGTGACTATAACTTTTGGAAAATCAAAATGAGAGCATTCCTAAGAGGTATTGATATAGATGTTTGGAAAGCCACAGAACAAGGGGACCATGTTCCAACCAAAATAGTAAATAATGCAAATGTTCCAACACCCGATATTGAATGGACCCTCAATGACCGTAGGCTTGTACAATGTAATGTCAAGGCTATTACTAATCTTTATTGTGCCTTAAGCAAAGACGAATTCAATAGAATTTCTGATTGTGAAACAGCCAAAGAAATTTGGGATAAACTTGAAGTTACCTATGTAGGTACCAGTCATGTTAAGGAATCTAAAATGAATATGCTTGTCCATAAATATGAACTTTTCACCATGAACAACAAAGAAACCATTAGTGAAATGTACTCTCGTTTTACTAACATTGTGAATCCTTTGAAGGCTCTTGGAAGATCATATACATCGTCCGACAATGTGAAAAAAATTCTTAGGTCTTTACCAAAAAATTGGGAAGCCAAGAAGACCGCCATCCAAGAGGCCAAAGATCTCAATACACTTCCCATAGATGAACTCATTGGTTCCTTAATGGCTTATGAGCTAGAGATGAATGATAGAGATGAAGACAAAGAAGCTCAAAAGAAAGATATAGCTCTTCAAGCT